ATTGTATATCTTTTATGCTTGTGATATGGGATTATTAAGACCTTATTAACCTCGTAAATATACATATGTGATCTAGTATTATATTCGTCTATATTATTGGCGGAAAGTTATTCCTTGTTGGGACGCAACAAATCTTTTTCACCTTTGGCATGGTAGAAACACTGTAAACATTTCAATAAAACCTGAGCAATATAATCAGTTACAGAAGGGCTAGATTAAGGGTTAAATAAAACGGTCACGAATTCAGAAAAGGTTGACTGCATTGTTTGAACCTACTAGAGAAAAACTCACGAAATCACTTATTTGCCTTAAAATGGTCACAAGCCAGAGAAGTGTATATAAATTAGTTGTAGCTTGCAACTAAAAATTGTTTTATCTGTATGAAAACAGCTGAAATACGAGGGATGTCTTTTAAGTTTTGCATATGGAAATAAAACAACACAGTACGTAGTTTTAAATGACTTTATTTTCGAAGCACTTATTCCACTCGTTTGCTGGCAGATCCAAAACGGCATTTTTGAATGCGTCAACTGCTTCTTCTTGCGACTGGAACCTTTGACCACGCAGTCTGTTTTTAATTTTCGGGAAAGTAAAGAAATCGTTAGGACTTAGATCGGGACTATATAGAGAATAATATGAAAATAATTCCACGTTTTCTTCCGTTAAATACTGCCTTGTTTTTTAGGCTGTGTGCGAGCTTGCATTGTCTTGGTGGAGGATGATTCTTCTTTCGGGGTTGATTTTTCGAAGCTCGTTGATGACTTTTGGCAAACAAATGGTGGTATACCAATCCGCAGTAACAGTTCTTTGCTCATTAAGAGGAATTGTTGCAATATGACCCGCTTTTGACACACATGTCGCCACCATCTTTTTCGAAGCACTTTGAGTACGGATGACTTTTGTTGGCTTTTCTTCACCTTGGAACACCCAAACAGACGACTGTCGTTTATTTTCTGGTTCATAACAGTAAATCCAAGATTCATCTGTACTAACAATGCTGTACACATTTTTTGAGTTTCCGGAATTGAAACAGTCAAGCGTTTTTCGACACCAAGTAACCCTGGCTGCTTTCTGCTCTTCAGTCAACAGATTCCAACGAGAAACTAATTTTCTTACTCCTAATTCGTCATGTAAAGTTTTTTTAATTAAGGTCTTTGATATGTTCACGGACGTCTCAATCTCGCGATATGTCACATGTCTATCTTCAATGATGAGTTTGCGCACAGCATCGACGTTTCCCTGGGTGACTGCCGTTTTTGGTACAACCACCCTGGGATCGTCGCCAGGAAAATGTTCTCGGTTAAGTTCTATTTTCCTAATGACTTGGTGACACTTATAAATTCACTGAAGTGAGAACACTGCACGTATTGTTGTGAAACTTTGAATTTAAGTTTACTAAAGAGTGAAGTTAAGATTCAATACTGACGTTGGATCCGCGCGGCCTACTATGTTTCTATATGCAAAACTTAAAAGACATCCCTCGTAGTAAACTACAAACACACAGTTAACACTGAGGCTCACAAACCATCGAAAACCACTTGTCAGGGAGACTATTATTTATTCAATATATTTAGGGCTATATGACAAATACGTAAGGTGATAGAAACAGATATTATATAACCACGGGCGTCCGTGTAAAATTTTGTCAGAGGGGCCGATTCTCGGCGAGAGATGTGAAAGTGTAGATTAAGATGAATTACGAATAAGTATAAGAGAGAAATTGAATCAAGTCAGTCAAACAGGCCCATACAAATAGGCATTCTTTCGCTATTTGTTTTTTTTTATTTTTACGAAAACAATGCACTCTAGGGAAAAAAAACACATGGGTAATTATTTGTAGCAAATTGAAGGTAAAATTCGAAAAATTGCTCGTTTCGAGAAAAAAAACAGTGGCATACTACTTTTATTTGGAAATATAATGCCACTAATCCCCTGTATCTCCGCCACTGGTGCACGTCAATTTTAAGTAAAGACTTTTGAATGTGGACCATACTTAGGTAAATCCACATACCAAATTTTAGTTCATTCCAGTTGACGGTTTTGAAGATATTAAAAAAAAATAATTTTTAAACTTCAACCCCCCTATCTTTTTAATGAAGCCATCGAGGAAAAAATATTACATAGAAGACTCTCCGTAAAATGCGGTCCTGTGTATGATGTTTCATTTTTGGTCACGACTTGTGAATCATCCTGTATAAGATCCAAGGAAATCAAAATCTCATTTACGAAGTTATTCGCGATTATAATACTTCCTCGCCAGTAGGCGTGTAAAGTAAAATCATTCTTAGTATTGAAATTTTAAGCTTCAACCGGTTCTCAGGGAGGAGGGGGTTCGGACCCCTGCCCCCACCCCTCACTTTCCTGCAACCGCACATGTAAATGCCTAACTATACATAATTCAAATTTATCATAAAGGCCGTCTGTCACGAAAGATATTTTGTGCTAAATTTAGTACCAAATTTTATGAGAAAATTCGTTACTGAATTTGGTTCCCAATTTGTTTACAAATTACAATCCAGTCTGACATGTAAAGAAATTTTTGTACTAAATTTCGTACGAAATCATGCGCAGTTGGTAGAAAAGAAACTATATCTGTCAACTTCTGAATGCTATTTAACATGTCAAAGTCATTCTAACCACACTTTCCTTTGCGGTTGCTACTTTACTACTTTATCTTTAAACGGGTAGAAAATTGTAGAAAATTGAGCGATCCCGTAATTCGCATAATATATGCGACAGCGGCAGCGTTGCAGCTGCCCACCTCATGATAAAACGAAGTAAACGAAACTGTAAAATGGATCAGGAAGAGGGACGAGGGCATGTATGTGCTCCATATGCTGAATAAAGAACTTCTAGTGCAGGATTATAAGTCTTTGGCTTTTCTGCTATACAGGGTTATCCAAATTAAGTGTCCACCATTAGTAACTTTGTTATTAGTGAAAATACAAAGTTGTTTGAATTAGCAAACTAGTAGCATTTTTAACGCTGGTAAAAATGAGAAATAAAAAAAAACAATTGAGAGTCGTTATTTTGATTTTTTTCAGTAAAATAACATTTTTTTAAATGGAAACCCCTGTATATTATATTTTTTTCTGTTAAAGCATCAAATTTTAAACAAAAAAGCTTACAATAACTTTTCTCCTAGGTTACAAATTGTTGAAGTTATGGCCTCCAATCTGAAACAATTAAATTGTATCGACAAACTTTATTTTCAACATCAACTTATAATCTTACAAAATACAATAACAATTTTTTTTAAAGAAGATGCTCGAAAACACCACCTTGTTCTTCAATACATTTTTGGGCACGTTTTTCAACTGCTCGAACTGTCTTAAGTATGGTCCTACCATCTATCTGGGTTATCTTTTCCCTAACTGCAGTCTTTAACGCGTCAAGGTTATCGTACCTTCGCTTGTAAATTTGGTTCTTTAAGTAACCCCACAAGAAGTAATCATCAATAATGGGTTTAGATCTGGTGATCTGGGAGGCCACTGTATTGGGCCATTTGTTCCTATCCACTGATCATTAAAAGTAGTACTTAGAAAATGATAAGTACCTCTGGAGTTGTGGGCAGGTGCGCCATCTTGCTGAAAATGCAGATGATGTCTACTTATAAGATCCAATTCGTCTAAGACATTAGTCAGAATTTCTGACATAAATTCCACATATCTTTCACCAGTTAGTGTTCCCTCATAAAAGAACGGGCCAACAATTTTTGAACCAATTATACCGCACCAAATGTTGAAACTGAAACGGACTTGTGGGCCTCTTGGATGTACTAACAAAAGATTTTCTCTTGACCAATAATGGTGGTTTTTTCTATTAAACATTCCAGAATTTGAAAAATTTGATTCATCTGTCCATAAAAGGTAACGAAAGTTATTTACATTTTGGCGACAGAAGCTAAGATACCAATGGCAAAAAACAAGTCTTCTCTCTGGATCCCCTGCCAAAAGCGTTTGAACTGGTCGGTACTTATACGGAATAAATTTGTATTTTTTTAAAATCCTTTGAACAGTACCATAACTGAAATTAGAGTCCTTGAGAATATCTGCTATTGAATTCTCACGATAAGCTTCAAAATATCCAATAACTGCAATTTCCGTGGCCTCGCTTATTATGAATTCTTTTTTTGCTCTTGTTTTAGCAAAAACATTTTCGTTGCCCCTAAATTTTCGATAAAGTCTCAGAAAATATCGTTCATACGGTTGAATGCGCGCGGGATATAATTCACTGTAGTATTCTCTTGCTCTCAAGGAGGATTTTCTGCACACTAAATAGCATTCTAACATATCACACTTTTCTTCATGGGAGAACATTTTTCTTTAAATTAATGACACAATAAAGCTTATAAACAAGTATTTACACTAATGTTTGACATTATTTGATTTTATCATTGTTTTCCAAAGCCTTCTAGTTGCGAGTATGTCCAGTTTAACAATTTGTCGCTTATCTTAATGCTGTCAAATCGCGAACGCCATGTTGTTTTCATAGCCGTCTTAATATTATAATACTGCAAATAATTAAAAATATTTATCGTTATTTTGACTTTATTTTTGACTTTAGCGGAAAAGTCATTATGAACTTTTTTGTTTAAAATTTGATGCTTTAACAGAAAAAAATATAATATACAGGGGTTTCCATTTAAAAAAATGTTATTTTACTGAAAAAAATCAAAATAACGACTCTCAATTGTTTTTTTTTTATTTCTCATTTTTACCAGCGTTAAAAACGCTACTAGTTTGCTAATTTAAACAAATTTTTACTAATAACAAAGTTACCAATGGTGGACACTTAATTTGGATAACCCTGTATAGGCCTTGCTTTTTACAGCATATAGAAAATGATATTTATCGCACTCGTTTAATAATATGTCACACCGTTCTTTTAATCATGACATCTTTTAAGTTTTCAATCTATAACACAACTAATAGCATCAACTAATGAAAGTGTTTGAGGTTATATCAGCCATTGTACTGCTCCAAATCTCCAATTTGTACATACAAAATTATGCACTGAATGCTATCCTTAATTTTGTACGGAAATTAGCTCAAAATTTCGTATCGTGGCAGACGGCATGGCGTCATCGTACATTCAAATACTATGGGAATATGAGGAGTTCCGAAAATTGAAGTAGGCTATGACCAGCTTTGTTTATTATTTGACAGCCGAATAAATAAATGGTGACAGAACGCGTCAGATTTTCATGCACGGTGGAGTGAATTTGGTTAATTTTCTATTATTATGAAATAGTCAAACTTCAAATTTCAAACAGCAGCCAGATTTGAAAGCCACCTGATCGAGGTAAGTTTGTTATAATCTAGATGGGGTTAATGAAATGAAATTTGGAGCAACATGGTCAATAAGCATACTAACCTCAGTGGTAGTGCCGGGATTTTTTGATAATTGAGTCTACATATTTCTGACATTATCTGATGAGGACATAATAATATAACATTTTTTAGAAACATGCAGCAAGACGAAGATAGTGCTAACATTGTAAGGCAAACTGTGGAAGGGGTGGACACTCATGAAGATCAAGGTGTGTATGCATACAATGGCGATGGTGTATTTTTTATGTATTTTCACATAGTTTGCTTTTTGAGTCAAATGTTTGAGATTTCTGTTACCTTAAAAATGATTACACATTATCTTCTAGCTGGCGTAAATATTGGCAGATTTATTTTCAAAATTTTATGGATTGTTACACCGTTTAGTACTATCTGAAATCTTTTCGTACAAGTATGATCACAATTTTCTAAATATCTACGTCTAGCAACACTGAACTGTTTTTTACCTTCCAAAGTTATGGGTAATATTATTTTTCATGGACATTATAAGAAAATGAATTCAAATGATTCGATTATTTAATTCTGGATTTTCTAGTAAGTTGACGATTTGCAAGTTGCTTTCTGTTACCATCATCTCTTACAACTTATTAGTGCACGTTTTTTTATATTTTCATTTTATTTCTGAAATTTATTTTCTTTCCTGGTTTACCGTGATTTTTCTCGGAATTGAAAGCTTGTCAAGACACCGAAATATGTAACGTTTGCTGAAAAAAGTCACGGTGAGTTGATTTTTTGACATTTCAAGCAAAATCAAGTTTTCTTTTCAGAACTCGCTTCAGATGATGACTTCAATCCAGCTTTGTTATGTCCAGATGTAATCATGGAGGTCAACGAGGTACCAATGTCATCTAATGGTAAACAAATTAAAAATTTTGGAAGTTTTTACCTATTTAATTTGTATCCTTTCAGAAATCAACGGAATATCAAATCACATACACAACATTGTAAATGGTAAGTTCCTTTCCCACACAATGATTTATAACTATGAACAGGAAACCAACACAATTTATTATTTTCGACAGCTAAAATCCAACTTGATGAAGACGAAAGAAACTTACTGAGGAAATCTAAGCTACAGAGAAGTAAGTCAATCAAAGAATAATTTAAAATAACGAAAGGAAATTATTTAGGAAAGACTGATACGATGGGTCGGAAAAACGTGAATATATCGACAGTAGCTCAAGCATGGAACGAATTTTCATTGTTCTTTTACTTCCCACTCCTACTGGCGGTAAAGTATTGTAGTCGCGAAAAATTGAGAAAATAAGATGTTTTTTGGATCTTATATGACATGATCATGAAAAGCAATATCACTCACTTCCACAGTGTCGGTCTGTTTATCTGCTGATCGTTGGCCCCAGTATAACTTGGAAAGCATCGATGCCTATGACGAAAGAAACGACAAAAATAAAGATTGCTCAAGCTTCGTTTTTTACGTTTCAGAGAATCACAATCATTTTTGAAAAAAAAATAGGGGAAAAAGTTGGGAGTGGGAAGTTTTAGGGGGAGGGTATGTCGCAATTTGTTGATTTGTTAATTTATTACATTTCCATCACTGGTAATTTTAAGAACCTATTAAACGAAGGAATTTCAAATATTAATAACAATAATAATAAATGTCTTTATTAACACACATTCATATCGGTGTAGCGAAATTTAGCCAAAGGGTTACTCCTACACTTAACGTCACTGTGAGAGAAAAAGCAACATACGAGTAGATAAACTCGATACACAAAGAGAAAAAATAAAAATAAGAAAAGAAACTGAAATAGCCACTTGCGGTACGAGCTTATAAAGCAAATAAGAAACAGAAAAAAAATGATTTAACAAATGCTCAGTTGAAACAGTGCTTTTGAACTATCCCACCCCATCAGCTGGTATATACCATAATTACGTCTCAAGAGCTATTATAATCAGTTACAAGCATTGTTGACAAACAGTTTTTGGTCAGAGCTCTAAAGAATTGGACACACTCGCCCACTGCTGCAATCTGGGGTAATTTTTTTTTTTCATAAAAAGATCAAATAGTGCACTAATGGTTCTCACAAAAGCTACGTCTTTTTGATGCCATTGCACAATATGAAAAATTGTACTAGACTTTGTTGCGAAGGCGTGGGAAGTATAGAGTCAATATACTTTTACGATTTTTTAACATACGTGTACAAGAATAATTTCATTTAACCAAACAATTTAAAATATTTTTTGCCTCTTACAATTTTGTGTGTCGATGTTACTTTTTGAATTCGTTGGAATAGAATGTAAGGGATTCATTGTCTTTAGCATTATCTGCTATTAAAGGTGATTTATATTTTTCTGACCTCTATTTTGCAATAGGTACAGCGAAAATATAAAGTTGATTCGACTGCCTTTAATACTGTCAAAATCTAATTATACTTGCATTGGCAGTATCTAGGCTGGTGAGACACTCATATTTTCAAACACACCAACTAATGTCAACCACACCCCAACATACGTTTCAGGCCGTCCCATTCAGTTCTCAGAGATACACTGTACAGCATGTAACTGTCATCTGGGCAGCGCTTTAGCTTGTTCGCCGAACATGTTTGTACATCCACTTCTAAATGTGCTGGTGTGCAAGAATTGCTACGAGTACTACACTTCAGGAGACTTCGAAAAGGACGAGGATGGTACCGAGATGTACTGCCGGTGGTGTGGACAGGGAGGAAACGTGATGTGCTGCGCAGCTTGCCCGATGGTCTTTTGCCAGGTATGTTTTGAAATTGGACATTTGAAGCATCTTTGATTGTTTCTACGCTGCAATGTCCTAGGAACCACCTCCACCAGTGTGGCCGACCCGAAAAAGATGAAATTTGTACATAGTGCCGTTGAAATTCGGTAGATTCAAGGACAAAATCTGTAGGAATAAAAATCAGCGGTGGTTCAAGTGTCAAGTACCTAACATTATTTTGATATTCTCTTTTTTCTGATATTCATATTCACAAGACAATCGCATAAATTTCGTGAATACCGATGCGAATAACAAGAAACATGTGAATATTCGCGAATTCGAATATTCGTTACATCACTACGTCGCGTGAAACCGTAAAGATGCACGATATTGAGGGAAAGGGAAGTGAATACAAAAGAAGAGAATAGCAGAAAAGAGAAACTGGATTCCTTTACACTTTGTTACGAAAACAGTGTTTTACCGTCCAAACTCCAATTTATTATGTTTACACTAATTTATAACTTTTTTACTAATTTATGACAATGTATAACAATGTTGACTAGACTACGGCATTCCGCGTTTGAATTTCTCGACTTCCACCATATGGTTTGGTATTTATCGCTCTATCGACGAGTCGAGAAATGTTCCAGCGTTTTTCAGGTCAAGGCGTGAACTTCCATGGAAGTAGTCTAGATGGCAGCAGGTGTCTCTAGACGGATCTCGGTTATACTTGGGCCTAAACCTTTTTAGATAGCGGCGCAAGCACTTACACACGGTCGCGAAACTGGTTGCCTAACCATCGACTCTACAAGGCGGCTCCTCGCCACTCAAGGTCCCAGCTATACGAGCGCGTTACAATATAATCAAATGATAGTCCGCGCACTGGAACGACGCGAAGGGAAGCGACGTAACACGTTTGACGTATGCAAATGGCAAATGTCGTCGCGTTTCCCTTCGTTTCTCTGCACTGATGGGTGCACGACTTTATTGGTCGCTATGCCGACAAAAAATGATATACAAGCAGAGGAAAAGGAAAGCAGCTTATGCGCTCGACAATTTGATAGAATAATACCACTGATTCAAGTATTTTACCTGGAGATAGCCAACCTAATTACTATATTCCCGCGTCCAAAAAATTATCCGAGATGAAACGAGATAACGCAGGGTCATCTATAATAATTTGTCAGATATGTTTCTTCTAATTAAAGCAGAGAGGAGAAACAGCTGTGAAAAATCCTCACAAATGGTGCTACGGTATCTCAATTCATCTCAGACGTTTTTTTGGACGTGGGAATATAGTACTAGAGTGGCTATCTTCAAAATACATCCAAATGTCACTCTCTCCCTCTCTCTCTCTCCCCCCCTCTCTCTCTCTCTCTCTCACTCTCTCTCTCTCTCCCCCTCTCTCTCTCTCTCTCTCCCCCTCTCTCTCTCTCTCTCTCTGTCCCTCTCTCCCTCTCTCTCTCCCCCTCTCTCCCCCCTCTCTCTCTCTCTCTCTCTCTCTCTGATTTTACTGTCGTCAGTGATGACTGACATTTTGCGTCACACAAAGGATGGGTTCCTTAAGACACTTTTTATAGGAATATTTCTTTTGTGTTACAAACATGAATCAAGGTTGATCACAAGCGAAACAAACAGATTTTTGGATCCAATCAATTTGTACCGAATTTTGGTCAAAGAATTTCAAGAAATCGATGCACCAATTGCAACTACTTGTCTGATTTGGAAGATTTTCCGTTAGAACTTTTTTCTAACATTCTATTTCATATTGTTTTCCAACGCTGTATGCCACAGAAGGCAATGGTTAATCGACACGACGTGGATATCTAAATTAAGAGCGTAACGACATGGGGGATAGAGGTGTTTTATGGGCTAATTAAATAGGTCAATTGGCCGGTCAACAATGACTCACGTTTTTAACAGATAAATGTGTCAATTGAGAAAAATTACCTTAGTTGATATGAGAGTGGTAAGCCCCAACCCTAACCTAGTTTATAGTTTGAAAGTTATAAAAACTAGGGAATACATTTTCAGTGCAGTAATTTTAGCTTTCGTTTGTAAGCCCTAGTGTCTCGACATCATATGTCAACTTGATCCCTAGAACGTGTTTTATATACAGTCGAGAAGTTGCAGTTTTCTGCAGATCTTTTATAGGTTTTGTTACTATACCCATAAAATTTTTGAGACTATGACTGCTTCGCTATATCTGCAGCTGTCCTGAATAAGTTGACAAAAATCATCAAATGAATCAAGAAAAGGAGGAGAATCACAGAAAATATACAATATTTTTGATCAAATACCTGTCTCTTTCTCTTTTGTGAACGAATACTTTCTGTGCTTGATGTAATACATATTTTGCATGATAACTACAATGTGCCCTTTACTTTTCAACCCGTTTCCAACGCTAATGTGTAAGTAATATCTAAATCACTTTTCCATACATCTGCTGTTACAGCTAGCTTCCGGATGAAAAACAGTCGAGTGTATTATTTCCGCATTTCAAAGGCTTTCTGAGGCTGTCTGTTCCTTTCAGCCGATTTTTCTTTTTCCAGACATGTATCCAGATTAATTTCGACGATGACAAGCTACAAGAGATAAAGAACAACGATGACTGGAAATGCTTTGGCTGTGATCCGGAACAGATCAAACATCTCAAGATACAATACTGCGAGTTGGCGGAATATTTTCAAAGGGAGATGTCGTAAGTTTCCTTTTGCCATGCTCCCATCCGACATTCTTGACAAGATTCTCAAGAGTACGGTTTAATACGGAATTCGTTATGAAATGCACAAGGATTTGTAAAAAAATAGGCGCATTCAAACCGTCTTCCTCTCAAAAATATCATTGTTTTGGTATGGTACGATGAAGCTGGTCCATAGTACATAGAAAATTAAAACAATTTATTTGTGACATCGACTTTAAATAATTTTTGAACATTGAAGCTATTTATTTTTTTTTGGATCTAACTTGTGCCGAATATAATATTTTATGAACTGATGACCAAGGGAAGTGCAGTGTCAACCTACCTGGCTCCATTTCGTTTATGAATCGAATTTAGGGAAATTCAGAAAATCGTTTGCAATTTCTCATTTCCTGATGGAACTGTTTAAGGTTTTGGATTTCCGGTTTCACCGAAAAATGCCTTGCTCTCTGTTTTACAGACACCTCAGTGATGCTAAAAAGAACAACAGACTGATGAGGCGCGACTATTCAAAATGTTGCGGCGAGAAATATCACGACAAAAGCAAGAGGGAGAAGGGGTCAGATGATACGCTGATAGAGGCAAGGGCTGAGCAGCTCACAAAAAATATAAATTGTCTATTGAAGATTCCTCCGCCAACAAACCAAAGTCAACCAGTCAACGTTGTACCGTCATTGCAGCCTGTCAACTGTACCGGAACACCACTCACTGTGCTGTCATTCAAGAGGCCTTTTCACAACGTTAATTCTGCCACAGGTTGATACAAATGATCACTTTGTCTTGTGGGAAGAGCTGAGTTCTATCATATCACTATCACAGAGGGGCGACAGAGAATCATTGATGACCCGTGTTTAATATGTCCGTACAGGGTAGCCAATATATAGCTGACTGATTTAAATTGCGCGCTATTTTTGATACATGCGTTTCAGTAGGCGGCGCCGTAGTAGTTGTTTGAAGCACATGTGTCCATAGAGCGCTACGCGATCCCACAACGCGTCCGTATTGTTAAAACGTTTTACTTAAATAATGAGTCGATTGTTACAACGATTCGGAAGCTACGACAAGATGTCGGTCGAAATAATGTGCCTAGTGTCAGTTTGAACAAGCAGGTGAAGTTAAAGACTTGCCAAGGTCGGGCCGCGTTCGAACTGTTCGTACTCCGGAAAATATCGAGAGAATTCGTGAAAGTGTAGAGGAGCGCCCTGAGACGTCTACCAGACATCGTTCTCAAGAACTGGGTATTCGTCGCACGACATTATGCACTATTTTAAAAAAGACCTGCATTTGCGACCATACAAAATTCATTTAACCCAAGAAGTTCAGCCCGATAATGAGCAATGAAGCCCACTTCGACATGAAAGGATTTGTTAATAAACAGAATTGTCATATCTGGGCATTAGAGAACCCTCGTGTCATCCACCAACGACCACTACATCCTCGTCGAGGCACAGTTTGGTGCGGTGTTTGGTATGGAGGTGTCATGGACCTTACTTCTTTGAAGACGCTGTAGGTAATTCTTACTGCCACTGGCGAGCGCTACCGTAATATGGTGCACAACTTTCTGGCTCCTTAAATCCAACAATTTAACCTGCAAAACAGGTGATTCCAGCAGGACGGAGCAACTTGTCACACAGGTGAGGAAACAATGAATCTTGCGAACAATATTTCCGGGACGTTCAATTTCTCGATTTGGAGATGTCAACAACTGGCCACCGGATTTAACGGCTCCTGACTTTTTTTGTTGTTGGAGAGAACAGTACGCCCTGAACTCGTCTACCACATTTATTCAGCAAAACCAATTTTACAAATAGAAGAAATAATATATATACACATACTTTATACATACATATATATATATATATATATACAGATATATATAAAAAAAAACAAAAGCAAGATTTCTCTATATGAGCGCCTGAGTTTAAAAACTGGCATGCGCAAAAACAATCCAATACATTAACATCATACAGGGTGATATGCATAAAGGTGAGTGGGTTCTCAGAAGTAGCGACTCCATATTGTAGCGAGTTACTACTCCTGTTACGGAGAGCCTACTCGGTTTTGATATGCATAAAATATTTATCGAGAAACGGAGAGGCTACTCAAATTCTAATGAAATACTTGAGTAGGCACTCTGGTTTTCGAGTTCCGACTTGTATTTTGTTGTCTCGCCGAATTGGCAATTTCTCTATTGCGAGCAGTTACTACTGTATACCGGTAAACGTTTGTGTCGGTGGTGTTTAGGTCGATTATTATTTGTTCATTTACATGATGTCAACCTATTCTGAAGACCATTCATCTGAAGATCAAACAGTATTTGTTAATATAATTAAACATCCCGGAAATCAAAAATAAACGCCGTAAGGCGGTTGAAGAAATGAAAGAAAAGGTAGAAGCAGAATTAGGAGTTAAATATAATGAAGGGCAGATTTGGAAGAAGATTCAAAACATAAAAACTGGTTACTTATTAAACTTACTTATTTTAACTTTACTAAACCGATATAAGGCCCGATAGTCTACTTTCCTTGATTTCCTACGATCTTCAAATACCTTCGTAGGCTGATAAATAGGCATAAATTCGGCCATTTCGTGAAGACATCCACTTCTTATAAAGCTGAGTCTACTACTAAGGTATCTCGCATTTCTTTAAGTATGTACTCAGCGGTCGGAGTGGACGCTCGCTTTTATGCATATAAAAATTAAAGTCGGCACTCAAGGAGCGAGTACAGCCTCACGGAAAGAGTAGAAACTTATGAGTGTGAGCTTCTACTTACAATTTTATGCATATCAAACGGAGTGGCTACTTTAAAAATGCGAGTCAAAAGTAGCCACTCGCCTTTATGCATATCACCCAATATATATTCTTGTATAACATTATTTAACAATCCCAAAAAACATGAAACACACTATAGACAGAATGAAAGAAAATCCTATGCTTTTTGTAAGTCATAGATTTGACGTAAGATCACAGAAAAAAAGTATCACAATTATATAAAAAAAAGAAAATAAACAAATAGGCGGATCATTCTACCTCAAAGCAACTTAAAATAAACGCATCAGTTGTTCACGATTTTCCCAACAGAACATTTTAAACGAAACATTAAATTGTTTATTATTTTCAATTTTCCTGATATTAGCAGACATCAAATTGTAAAATTTAGATGCAAGATATGTCACGAAACGTAAATTTAAATCTCGCCTGGACTCGATTAAGAATTTGCAAAAATATGACTATTATAAGAGGAGGAAGGAAAAAACAATAAAAATACTACACTTACAAAATCATACCTTAATACAGGATAATTTGTTTGAAATTACATTTTTTTATTTTTATAATACATTTTCAATATAGCGCCCTCTATTTCTAATGCACACACGTGCTCTTCTTATGACAGCTGATTTTACTACCGCCGAATTCCTAAGAGAGGCTTGAATGTCTTGTGCTGCATGTATTATCCTGTTTCTGAGGTCTTCTATTGTGGGTACAGGATTTTAATCAGAGTATACTAAAGTTTGCATGCGACCCCACACAAAAAAGGCCATGGGATTGGTCCGCCTCTACCGATCCATCGATTCGGAAACTGCTCATTTAACCAATTTCCAACACGTCTGAAATGTGCTGGGCACCCGTCATGCTGAAAAATCAAGGCGGACCAATCCCATGGCCAGCACGCAGTCCAGATCTCACACCTATGGACTTTTTTGTGTGGGGTCGCATGAAAACTTTAGTATACTCTGATCAAAATCCTGTACCCACAATAGAAGACTTCTGAAACAGAATAATGCATGCAGCACATGAAATTCAAGCCTCTCTTAGAAATTCGGCGGTAGTAAAATCAGCTGTCATAAGAAGAGCACGTGTGTGCATAAGAAATAGAGGGCGCCATATTGAAAATGTATTATAAAAATAAAAAAAAATGTAGTTTCTAACAAATTATCCTGTATTAAGGTATGATTTTGTAAGTGTAGTATTTTTATTGCTTTTTCCTTCCTCTCTTATAATAGTCATATTTTTGCAAATTCTTAATCGATTTGTGATTTTTATACCTCATCTGAAAGGTAATGAAACGTAGATGTTTTCTAATTATTTTGTACGAAAAATTTGTATGCGACTTTTTCTAGTAAGCTGAAGGTTTTGAGATGAACGTAGATTTTTTAACAAAAATCGAACTATTTTGAAGCTTACTGCATGAGATAACGTCAATAATGTACATTTGAGTATCAATTTTCGTATTTTAGAATACTTTTATTGTAAAATCAAAAAAAAAATAAAACGAAACACCCAATTTTCAAGTTTTATGCCTTGGTTAACGTATAAAGGACGTTAATTTTATAAAATCTAAAAAATTAGTATAATTCGAAGACGGCTAATTTTCGGACAGTAGTTCCTATAGTAAAATCGACTCAGATTGGCTTGTACTATCTCCCCCCACCGGCTCCGCATCTATTTTCCCGTCACCCTGTATAATTGTGTGACACATAATTTGTATTTAATTTCTTATTGGCATGTACAAAACTACATACTGCAACGATATGTAAGATTTTAATATTGTTTATTTCTTGAGAATAAAGTTGCATAGTGGGATGTAGCCTAGGTTTTTTTAGAATAATCCTTACAATATGGTTCTGCACCACTTTTAACTGCCCAAGATTTGAACCGTGCATCCCACCCCACACAATTATGCCATATACCAAAAGGCGCACCACAAGTGCTATGTAAATCATCAATATTAGTTTAATGTTCAGTTTGTTACGAAGAGTAGAATTTATGGATGAAAAATATATTTTTTTTGCTCAAATACAGCACATGTTGGTCCCACTTCAAGTGATTATCAACAACCCCCAAATATTTAATTTCATTTACTTCTTTCAAATGCTCATCTATATTATCAAGCTTAATTTGATTAAATGCTGGCCTATTAGCCATGAGATGGCGTTTATGGGATTTTCGGAAAATAGGCTTTATGCCAATAAACCAAATAGTGTAGAGCAGCTGACGAACAACATTACGGATACGATTGAAGCTATTCCTCCTGAAACCTACCAAAAGGTGATGTAAAATGAAATCAAGAGGGCTCATGTTTGCACGGCTTCTAGTGGTGGACATTTGTCTGATATTATTTTTCATACATAATTTCTAAGTTTCAATAAAAGATTATGATGAAAAAAATGGACGTATTTTATTTTATTTCACAAATATTCAAAATACAAACCAGTCAGTTACATACCGGCCACCCTGTATAAGCGTCTGAGTCTGTGGACGCTTCATTCGCGCTCTCTCTCTCTAACATATGTATTTCTCTATCTCTCTATCTCGCTCTTACATATAAAATATGGGACCTTGATGATTCGCTGCCCAGCCTGTATATTTAAATGCCTCAGATAAATATTGAGGTCATAGAGTCCTGTCAAAAAATGCTAAAAAGACGTAGAAATGGGTTCTTCAAACTAAAATAGCCAAAGTTAACTTAATAAAAACCACCAAGAATTTTGGTAAGACTATACTTTAGCGAATATCGCAAATATTTCATTTCTTGTTTTAAAATGAAAGATTAGGATGTAACCTTTACGAAAATATATTTTTTTCTTTAAGGAACGCTCAACTTGCTATTTTATAGAACTTCAAAGTTGCATTTTTGGTGGTAATACTCTAGAATAGAATACTGTTTTATGCACTGTTTTTTTTTTCTTTTGGCAAGGATGCTTTACATTATAAAAATATAACATAATCTGTGTAGTACTAAGGAAAGTAGATGTGAAACTGTAAAAAATCGTTATTTTTGCAAAAAAGGGTTCAAACCTAGCCGTGTAATAAGATAAAATAACAATTCAAAATACCGTAAATGATGGTATTTACTTGGTAAACAGTGTAGAGGTGTTGTGTTGTGATCTTTCAATGTCTTCTTGAAATTCTTTAACCATTTTTTTCGCGTATTTTCAATGAAATTATAGTTTTTGCGTTTGTAAAAAATATTTGAAAGTACAAACAATTCAATGGCCATTTTATAACGACCATTTCTTGACAGATAAGATAAATGATGTCCATTGTTGCCAAGTTGTACTATTTTTGAGAGAAATTCGTAATAAAAAATGAGGTTATTTGCAAAATGAAAGTCTTAATTTATTGCAAATGGCTTGTTTGATGAGAAATTGTCCCTGCAAATTAGATAAAACTTTGAACAGTATGCGTCTAAACAATGAAAAATACCAGCGGCTCGCGTGGCATAAAAAATACAAAGTCATTACATATAAAAATACCCAACTTTGATTCGTCGATTTGGACCACGTCGCCAAGTCAACCCAACATATCCTCGTGCAACACTATAGTTAAATAAATATCAACACATTTTTGCGCTAGTATATAAGTAAGAATTTGACAAACCAAATCAAGGTATATTACAATCCAGGATTTGGCAACATCGCGACTAGATAAAGAAATTATGATAGTGATGGTGGATTAGTGATGGGAACATTTATTGAATGACTAGTTGACAATGAACTATTTTTATCATTAAAATAATGCAATATTGGATTACTGCGATAAACAATGTCACAGTAATATACAGTGTAGGTTATGTTATATTCATATAATTTTGAGCAATCGTGTGTGAAGAAAAAAAAACAGTATTACCACCCAAAATGCAACTTTGAAGTTCTATAAAATAGCAAGAAATGAAGAAAACATGATATTTTCGTACAAGTTTCATCCTAATCTTTCATTTTAAAACAAGAAATGAAATATTTGCGCATTTGAGCTAAAGAATAGTTCAGTCAGAATTCTAACTATCGCTAGTGAAGGATTTAGAAAATATTTTATAATGATGGAGTAAGCAGTATTTTCTTTATAAAGGTTTCATAAGGCAAGGAAACCAGATGACACCCGTCCGTTTACTACCTCAGCAACAGCTGGTGCCTCGGTATGTGGCACAAGCGCCTTATCCACAGCATGCGACGATGCAACCTCTTTTGGCACCCAAGACTTTTGTCTGCAAGTCTACACAGGTTTGTTACGTGATTTCACACTGACGTTTCGGTTTTTTCTTTATAATGGAGAGTTTCGTATCTTTGAGTGTTCGATGCCGTTGTTTATAAATGCGATGTTAAGTCGCCTCCAAGTAAAACAAACACTATATATTAAATAAGGGAGGGTTTACACTAGCATGTAGCACTTGCGTAAGTTTTATTTGCATCCAACTTGAAGAAAAACTTGCAAATGTAAACACTAATATGCACAAAAGTTTATCTTGCAACGCGGATTTGCATGCATTTGTTGCTTTCGCAAATAAATTCTGTTTTGACAGAAATACTTTCCTGTATAGGCCTGTTGCTTGCAGCCAACAACTAATTGCAAACAAGTGACGAGAGTGTTTGGTCGAGATGAAGAACTGCACTGACTAAACTTTAAGCAAGTTTCCCTTGCAAAGGTAGGTGTGTAGTGTAAACTTTAACTTGCAAGTACAGTTTGCATCAACTTGCATGTCCTACTTACGCAAGCACTACATGTTAGGGTAAACTCCCCTTAATATTCCAAAAAGTGCAAGTAGAACTTCTTCAAGATATTATCGAGAAAGGTAATCAAAAGTGCATTTAAATAACGACAATGAGTTGTTGATACATGATCAAAAGCTCACCAAAAAACTTTTGTAAAGTAGTTAACCTTTACATATTTTGAATTAAGTCCAAAGTCACATTCTCAGTTACAGCTGATTATTCAGCGTTTCAAGCAAGGATATCTCGGCTGAGGTCAACTTGTAATTTAAGGTATCGCGAATGAGTTAATATTGGCCTTCTTAGGTGTAACATAGAGGTGTCAGGGAAGTTACCCAATAACTGCCGTCAATTGCTAGCTAGCTACAGACAACTTGATGTTCAGGCAGAAAAAATATTGCTGGTGTGATCCCGTCTTGGTATAATTAAATTCGCTCTAGATTGAGCAGCTAGAAGCAACAATTTTTTGACGATAACGTGTTTCACATATATGCATATTTGAGCTTAGTCAAAACAGTGTATCTCACAGCCACTTTGAGATACTTAAGAAGAAGGAAAGATAAAGATGCAATCAAGCATAAAGAAATTCTTATACATACAGAGTGATTCATAAGTGGTGACCAAATATGAAACATCATACACAGGACCGCATTTAAGTAACATTTTTTTCTCGAGGACTTCATTAAAAAGATAGATAGAAAGTTTAGAAATAAAAACCATTTTTTATTATTTTCAAAACCGTCAACTGGAATGAACTAAGTATTATCCACGTTCAACAGTCTTTACTTAAAATTAACGGAGATACAGGGGATTGGTGGTGGCATTATTTTTCCAAATAAAAATAGTACGCCACTGTTTTGCTTTCGAAACGCGCAATTTTTCGATTTTTACTTTCAATTTGCTACAAATAATTACTCTTGTTTTTCCCTGGAGTGCACTGTTTTCGTAAAAATAAAAATAAGACAAATTAAATCATTCACGACGAGCCGAGATACATTTAGTTTCAAAATAAATTAAGATGCCTTGATACCAACTTGACGTTTCTTGGGAGATAGTTTGTCAAAGTTATGTGTTATACGGTTGTTATCGTTACTACTACCATTTTTTTTTTGTTTTTCTTCTGAAAGTCAAATCGAAAGTTTATTTTTCCCATTTTTGAGTGTTGTTAAATGGAATTCAGCAATGATGAGTATGCTGATATTATTTTGGTGTAGGGTTCTGTAATAGAAATACTTTAACGGCTTCTCCGGAGTATCAACGTAGATTTCCTAAAAGATGCCAACCTAACCCAAAGGTTTTTACGCGTTCATTTCTAAGACATCGGCAATATGGAGTTGCCAAGCTTGCCATTCTGTCCGGTGTACTATTCAAGAGGAACTGGAAGTGATTAATTTGGCGTTGGATGATTTTAGTACAAGTACTAGGCGGACTGCAGCGCAGTTATCATGTTCCCAAAGTCTTGCGTGGAGAATTTTATACCGGGAAGTTTTACATCCTTACCATCGGCAAAACTTTTGTGAGTGGTTACTGCAAATGCATAATCAAAATGCAGATTTTATTGGTTTGGTTTTGTGATCAGATGAATCGCGTTTTACAAGGAGTGGAACATTTAATTCTCATAATGAACATATTTGATCGTTAGATTATCCCCGTTCTGTAGGAATAAACACAGATTTTCTAGATATGTCTGGTCCGGCATTTTCAGTGGTCAGCTGTTTATGCACATATTGCCACAACGTTTAAATGCAAACTCACACTTAGGCAGCACTTTAGGCAGCAGCGGTGGCCGCAGTAGTAGACTCTTCGGTCTCCTGATCAGTCGCCGTGCGGGTTCGAATCCCGTCCCAGGAGAAACTTTTCTCTTGACTGTTGTGATTGTCCGTAGGTGGTAGATGGTCTCTGACTGTCGAACGCGGAGGTACCACCCGGCGAATCTCGTAGGCGGAGCCAGAATGTGTGCATGTTGCATGCACACGTGTTCCCTCGCCAGAGTCCGTGTGGCGTTCCCCCTTTCCCCTATATCCCCCAATAGCCCTAGGTACCAATGGGTGTTTAGGCCTTAGGCCTTCGTAGTAGTTGGAGTATAAAAAAAAGCCTTTCTAGAGAATTACATAGAAAATGTGTTTGATGATGTTCCGTTAGCAGAGTACGAATGTGATATCAGCACGAGGGTGCCCCACCGCATGTTCGTCGTGACATACGAGTATCCGCATGGTTAAACAATAATTTTAGACAAAGATGGATTGGCAGAAACAGACCCGTACATTGGCCTGCGAGGTCTCCTGATTTGAACCCCCTGGATTTACTTTTGTAGAGGGCGCTTTTTAACAACTAGTGTATGCTGAACAAATTAATACTGTTGATCAGTTACAAGAAAGAATAGATAATGCATTTCATCAAATTCAAGCCCCAACAAATTTTGCGGCAATACGTTTTTCTGTATTAAAAAGATGCCGCACTTGTATTCGTCAGAATGGTTATCTTTTTGAACATTTATTGAAATAAAGCTTTGATTATCTATTTTTTTTTTTTTATTTTTACGAAAACATTTACTCTAAAAATTCGAAAAATTGTGCGTTTAAAAAACGGTGATGTACTATTTTTATTTGGAAAAATAATACCACTAATCCTCTGAATCCCTCTGGTGCACGTTAAATTAGGTAAATCCACCTACCAAATTTTAGTTCATTCCAGTTAAATCAAAATTTGCGCTTGCTTTAGCGGATTGCCGAGCAACCAAAGACAAACCCATTGATCCCGAGGCTTGATTTCTACACAAACTTTGGCATTGTAGGACGGTTTTTAGGAAGTGACTTTTAACCAAGGAGATTAGGCCAAATTTACCCCAGTACTTTATCCCAAAACTAACTTGAGGAAGATCTCGTTGATAATTTCGTAAACGTTACTGCAGAAACGGAAGGACTCGCTTGTTTTGAAAATATTTGGCACATGAACTATACAGTTTCTATCGCGTTCGCAGCGCGGTCCAGGTACAGTCCGCTTTCGTTGCTACTAGGCGTGTTATGTGTAGTTGCTTGTCCGGCGGTTGGACACAAATTTTACCTCCGCCCGCCCGCTGGTAACACATTAAACAACAACTGTTGGATTTTTAGGTGGATTACAGCACATATGACAGCCTCAAAAACGTTTTGGATAAAGCCGTGTGTTCTACAGCTCTGGCAAACAGTACCGTCGCAAGTTCGTTGCTCGAACTGAGCGCTTTGACAGACAAGTGCGTGACCATAAATGACTGTATCGCAATGTATAACACCCTCCAGGGTGCGTTAACTACTTACATAAAGTCGTTGGTCGAAATCAAGGACCAGGCAGTTCGCGGGACCAGTAGCTTTGGTAAGTTTCTTACAATAAAGCGTAACAGTTACAATAAAAATTCCTAGGACCCGATTCTTACTGAATTCCGACCCTTGAAGTTGATGTCGATGTCACCTTGCCGTTTTACATACAGGGTGTTCATTTCCCACGACGGATTTATCAAAAACCACCGATTAAAAGAAAAAACGCCGAGATACGTCAAAAGATTTGTCAACCGGAACAACTTTGTAACCAATTCAATTTTCTTGAAAATCAAATGTCTAAATAAAAGAACTTCGAAAGACCTTTCAAACAAGCTATCACTCGATCCTCCTTGTCATTTAAAATTTTTAAGGAGATGACCCTCGGGGCACAGGGTGAAAGGGGTAAAAAGTTGTCCCCCTTGACAAATCTTTTCACGTGTCTCGCCGTTTTTTCTTTTAATCAGTGGGTTTCGATAAATCCGGAGTGGGAAGTTTTCAAATGAACACTCTGTATAATAATGGCCGTATACAAATTTCTATAGCGCATTATATTTATAACAACAAGGCTACAACAAAATGAGTTTCAAGGGCCGAAATTCAGTTAGAATCTGGTACTTGATTTTTTACGCAGATATTTCCGTATTCTTAGCGAGTCAGTCTTCCTTGGTCAATTCTGAGACGCTGTTAGATATTTTGCTATCATAGATTCCTACAAATCAATATCGAATGTCTCATAAAATTAGAGTTTTAGCTTCTCTCGTTTCTTTGGTCTTCTCTGCCTCTGTCTCATAATTTTCTTTCATTTATCAAATACAAAATGCAAGCATTTTGCTGCGTTGATATTAATTTCAACGAAATAATATTTATGAGCAACTTTGTGCAACATTTGATAGTATTTCAAAGTTTGGTTGTTCAAGAAGAAACTAAAAATAGTCTATAACTAAATGCTCGATCGAATCCGTTGATGACAGTTTTCTTACCATTCTACTTACTCATGACAAAATAAAATAAGGAAAAACCTTACCTTTGTACAATTAGTTATTATCTCTAGCAGTTTCTTGAGAAATTACCTGAAATGAAGAAAAAACTCGATGATTTGACATAATTTTATAACCGGACAAATTCAGTTGCAGGAACGATCATCAACGACCAAACTCAAGTGAAGAATATAACTCCAGGTACGCTAGGCCCATTAAAACTAGTTAGCTTTGTCAGACAAAAATAGGTCATATTTGTACAAGTTCGACATCTCAGATAATTCATCATAAATGTATTGTTCAGTATTATGTCCGGTGTTGAAGTATATCATTTCTTGTTTTCTACACTAATAAGGATAACATTGCATGCTAAAAAAACACTTCAAATGTTCAACTTTCTTCAACCGAAGCTATGGAGTTGTCACTTTAATTCAAAAGTTCAGACATCGTAAAGGTTTATTTTTCTTTTGGAGTGGCTCGCATGATTCTTATTTGTATCAAATACTTTAAGTATGAAATGTTAAAAAAATTTTTTTCTTATTTTGTATATGTTGTTGAATGCAGTTGCTATACGAATAGTACTTGAATTATTAGTAACTCAAACACTTTAATAATTAAACATTATAAAAAGTTACTTTCCAAAATATTTGATTGACTGTAGCTGTAGGTTTCATGATGGACATAACCACCTTTTTACTAATCTCATACTGAGGGGAAGTTAAGTGCAAAGACTGATGAACACTTCAGATTCATATTCAGTTTTGGATGTAGTTACATTTTTTCACCATTGTAAATGAACGGTTACCAGCTCTCGCGAACCTTCATTATGACCATGTGTATTCGCTAGGTCCGCAAAGATAGCGTCACCTATACCCCATTCGTTGTCTATTTACACCCAGACAAAACACAACATGCCCAAAAGCGAGATTGTACAGGTCCGTATTTTCCTCAATGGTCTTGGAATGATCTAACAAAATAAATTATTATTTTTATAGAAGTGCACGTACTTTTCACAATTCTTTATTCGCTGGAAGTACTCGAATCATCGTCCGAATGGTTAATACGAATTAATACAGGTTCAATTTGAATATCGATAACATTGTCCAGATCCCACATCGATTGACGCTTGAACGTAACGGATGCAATATTTCCAATGGTTTGGCGTCACTCTGTTGACAGCTTCATAAAACAAATTTTTCACATCAGAAAATTTGAATGTGCTATTGTTTGAAGCCACCTGGTTTTTCATATTTGCCAAAATCATTTCAATAGGATTTAATTTAAGGGGGAGTCTTGAAATGAAATGGACATTGTTTCTATTAGAGATCTCCTCTGTGATGCCGCAACGCAACGAGCATACCAGACAGACCCGTCTGACTTCGGCCTAACCTTGTCGAACTTCGTAGACCCAGAACTGGCCAGTACGACTGCTCTTTTACCCTAGGGTGTCACAATTATCTAACAATCTCCCAGTACTTACTGACCTCTGGTCGTATAGAAACAAATGCCATTTAGTAAATTTGATGTTAGGAACAATTCGAATTTTAAAATGACAATTCTTTTTTTATCTGACGAAAGATGGCAGCGGAATAGGTGAAGTCT